AACCAAATAGACTGTGGTACTTTAGAACAGCAAATCTTTTCTATTTTCTACATAGTTGTGATTAAACAAAGGTATTGGCCTTCTACTGCCACTACTCACCTCTCACCAATTCAAAGGCAAATTCAAAGTCTTTGGTTCTGCTGCCAAAAATTTATTTTTACTCAATTTTGTGAGGAAACATGACATGAGAACCAGGATGTAAATCGGGAAATCTAGCCTGAATCACTGAACTATAACAGCGCTTCAATATGTAGATATATTCCGACTTCTTCATTTATTCAGGCTGTGAAGAGTTTCTGTAGTCAAAACGATACCTGAAAAGGCACACCTTGAAATTCTCAATTTGATCACCATACCATCAATGACTCAAAGCGGTTCTGTTTTGAATGGCATCTTTTGCACGTCATCACTTGGCAAATCCCAGTCACAGCTGTCTACTGCCATGACCCAAGCTCATACTTGCACTGCCCTCTATTGTCAAAGGACACTGGTAAGAACTACTGCATGCAGACCTCTAACGAAACAGTACGTTTCACCCACTAAATATGCATATTAAAGACCGTGCCAATCCTACATTTCGGCAGCTGTTACATGATGCAACTTGACGCGCATTCTTGTTTTGAATTTACACACTAGTTAATGGATACCAATTTTTGCCCGATTTAATGACAATGACATTAATTTGTATCTGTGGAACAGCAATTTCTGTGTACACTGTTGCCTCAAAACACCAGCTCCTTTGTTTTGCATACTACACAATTGAATAAATTCAAAACAGAAATACAATGTATCCAGATGATATGCATTGCAGCATATAGTAAAATAGATTCATACCCTATTGCTAAATAAGACTTAAATGTACATACTGATTCAGACTTGAATTCAAACTGTCGATTGAAACTAGCTGAAACAGCAATTGCTCTTGCAATCAATACATGTAAAAGTTTTCAGTGATACCTGGTTGGCATTTTAAAGGGGGAATAGGAAAAAAGGACTTAAGAGAACTTAAATCTTGCAAAAGTGCCCAATTCTGATCCAAACCCCTGATTGAAGCCGCCCACAGGACCAGATTTAACTGCTGCTACAGTACCTCACTTCCAACTTCTCCTCAAGAAGTCCAGCGTGAAGCTCCTCAAGTAGTTTAGATTAGATTAAACCAGTGAGGACACTGCAATTCCAATGATCTACGAATACTGGAAGCAACATTCATGGAAACATCTTGTTTCAGGCAGTACAAAGATCACTAAGACACTAAAGCTGTGTGAATCGGATAACCATACGAGTACAGGTCTTAATGAGAATGATTTTAACCTGAAGCATCAGACATGAAAACATAAAAATTAGGTTTGGGATTTATTTTACTGAAAGATTTTTCAGTATGTTTTAGACTGGAAAATAAAATAGAATGGTTATTGCTCTCTTATATAATTTATTGTGTCTTAAAAGTGCATATTGAAAATTATACACTAACTTTAGATTATCGTAAAAATACATCACATTCAGGACAGCATTTAAAATAAGTGATCAAACAGATGGTTTTGAAGAATCAAAAGAATGCAATGTCAAATAAACAAATTAAATAATAAAATTCTACACACTGTAAAAAGTACTTACAATTGGATGAAAAATGCATACAGTCATTACTTCTTAACTGGACAAATGTAAAAAACTTAATTTTTTCTTTGAAGTACTGTAGCAGGAGCTATCAACACTATCACAGGCATTGATATGGTATGGCTTCTGCTA